GTATGAAGAGAGGTGGGAATGCTGGTTGTGGTAGATGGTCTCTGATTGGCTCTTCAGATACACTCACCATCCTTCTCTACCCTCATCTGTGATTCCAGGAGGCAGACCTTTAACAGCTTTATCAACCAGTCTCTCTTGCTCTGTGTCTTCAGATTGGGTTTGACTAATGTGAACTACCAACAGGAGGTTAGAAGTCAGGAGGAAAGCAAGGTAAGAGTATTTACTTCCATGAACCCCCTCAGTGGCTGCCATTTGTCTATTTAAGGTCACAGCTCTTGTTGGGTGGCCTTCTGCTACAATTACAGTCTGTATGCCCCCTCAAGCCTAATAGTGATAATACAGGCTTCCCACAGTTGCTACCCTATTTCCCCGAAAATAAGACAATGACTTATATTAATTTTTGCTCCCAAAGATGCGCTAGGTCTTATTTTCAGGGGATGTCTTATTTTTCCATGAAGAAGAATACGCTGCACATTTATTGTTAAATGAAAATAAAGGAAATTTATTACCTGTATACGGTACGGTAGTACGGTAGTTGTCAACAAAACCAGACAAACTGTGAATCCTACAGTATCAAGAATTTACTTATTTATTCAAGGATAATCGTCATCATCTTCTGGAACATCATCATAACAATTCAATTCCTGAATTTCCTGGTGAATTTCTTGTGACACCATTTCTTTCAGAATCAGTGGACCAAATCTCTCATGTTTAGCCTGGGGGAGGGGGGTTTATTTTGGGGGGGATGCCTTATATTTCACTCAGAAGGAAACCTGTAAGTAGATATTATTTTCGGAGGATGTCTTATTTTCGGGGAGACACGGTAGCCTCAGGGTACTTCATTGTCTCTTGCTTTCCCTCCACCCCTTGCACATTTTAAAAAGTAGTCTCTTGCCCTAGCAGGATTGGCTCAGTGGATAGAGTGTTGGCCTGTGGATTAAAGGTCCCAGGTTTGATTCCAGTCAAGGGCACATGCCGAGGTTGCAGGTTCAATCCCCAGTGGGGGGCGTGCAGGAGGCAGCCAGTCAATGATTCTCTCCTCAATGTTTCTATATCTCTCTCTCCCTCTCCTTTCCTCTCTGAAATCAATTAAAAATATACTTTAAAAATAAAATAAAAATAAAGAGTAGTCTCTTCATTAAATGCTATTCCATCACTTTTTTCAAGCATTTCATTAATTTTCAGCCAGGACTCTGATTGAAACATTGGTAGTGGGGAATGGGAGAAAAGTCAAGGTAGTATTAGGATGTGGTAAGCTGCTGGAGAGATAGGAAGAGGTTTTCAAAGCTGTTTACACCATTCTATGAATGTATCATGACTTACGTAACGCCAATAAATTCCTAAGTTGCATAATTATTGTGGCTGAGTTCCTGTTTCTTTGCATACATATCCAATATAAGGGCATGGCTATAGATAGATGTCTGGAATTTACATGACTAGATAAGACTACCAGGATCTATGTGGGTTGATTATGTCATATTAAGATATTTCTTTTATGAAATAAGAATCAACCCAACCCAGTGTATCTGCTAAGTTTTTCTAGAAATTCAGTCACTTGCTATAATATGAATTTTTACTGTCAGGTAGGTCAATATTATTTGACTTTGTAACATTTCCTTTCATTCTCAGTGTACTCTCCCTCTCAGGGGCATGCCTACACCTTTCCCTTCCCCTTCCAAGGAGCATTACCTTTGCCTTTCTTTTTCCTAAGCTCCAATGGCCCTTCTATTGCTTCTGTAACTTGATTCCTGAGCCTATGCAGCACAGCTGGCTCACTTCTACTACCTCTATAATTTTCTAAATAAACTTTCTCTTATAATTTGGGGGGAAAATATTGCTTAGCTGGTATGGATCAGTGGTTGAGCATCAACCTATGAACCTAGAGTTCATGGTTCAATTCCAGGTCAGGGCACATGCTAGGGTTGAAGGCTCAATCCCCAATAGGGGGCACACAGGAGGCAGCTGATCAAGAATTCTCTTTAATCATTGATGTTTCTCTCTCTCTCTCTCTCTCTCTCTCTCTCTCTCTCTCTCTCTCTCTCTCTCTCTCTCTCTCTCTTGCTTCCTCTCCCTGAAATTAATAAAAACGTGTGTTTTTTTTTAAAGGATCTTGGGAGAAACCAAGATGGTATAAGTAAATGCCTGAACTGCTGCCTCGCACAACAATTTCAAAACTACAATGAAAAGATAAAATGGACATCATCCAGAACCACAGGAAGGCTGGCTGAGTGGAAATTCTACAACTAGAAGGAAAGAGAAAAGCACACTGAGACTCACAGGAGCTGCAGGAGGCAGAGGTATGGAGGCACACTGAACACATGGCTGGCTTTCTCAAACAGGAGGGAGACAAAAGCTCCCAACTGCACTGAACTCCAATTCCAGGCAAGACGCTGGGGACCCAGACTCATAAGGGGAGAAACAGGACTATCTGGTAGCAGGTGAAACTTGAGAGCTGCTTTCTCCCAGAGGTGCTTGCAGTGATTACCGAGGGACACTGAGACCCAGGGGCCTCTTAGGGCAGGGCTGATGGGAAGCCATTGTTGTTTGCTCCACCCTGAGATCCCGCCCCATGAATCCCTTGCTGATTGCTCTGCCCTGAGACTTCGCCCCATCCAAGCTGAGCACAGAGGCTTTAGCATATGAATGGCCTGTCCTCTGAATTCTAAACTTACCTCACAAACCATAGCTGAGTCAGTGAGATCCAGAAGATCCAAAAAGAAAGCACAAGGCTCCACAGCATCTTTCATTGCTTCAAAGTGGGGCCCTACCTGGGCACTTCCAAAACCCAAACAAAGAAGAAGAATCTGCAGATCTCTCTGTATCTTCTGCTGGGTGGCCTCAGGCAGAGGCTAAATTAGCACTTCCTTGGAGATCCAAGAGCCAGTGTACCCAGGATCAAAGTGGGACTATTCAGATTACAATTCCTCAGATCCATAAGGGACACACTCAGGGGGCAGACTCAGTGAGCACCAAAGCCTCACTGAAGCAAGTCCTGTCTCATAATGGTGTCTCCAGCCTAGAAGTTCTCCCATCATAGACACAGTTGATCCTCACAACCAATTTGCCTGAAGGTCAATTCCTCCCAGTGATACTAACAATCAAGGCTTAACTACAACAAGAGTGTGCACACAGCCCACAAAGGGGTGCACCAAAAGTGTCCACCTCAGGTGTGCTTTGTGCACACTCTCCACACAACTGGGGAGGCTGAGCCACTGGGCCCTGTAGAAGACCTAGCACACAAAGCCACTCTATCAACTCAGGGAAGCAGCCAAAATGTGGAGACAAAGAAACAGGTCACAAATGAAAGAAATGGAGGAAAGCAAATGACTGTATATAGAGTTCAAAACCACGGTTATAAGGTTTTTCAATAATTTTCTAGAAAAGGCCCATAAATTTAGTGAGACCTCGGAGGATATGAAAAAGGACCAACTAGAAATTAAGCATACACTGACTGAAATAAAAAATAATATGGAGATCCAACAGCAGACTAGAGGATCACAAGAATTAAGTCAAATATTTGAAAAACAAAGAAGCAAAAAAGCACCCAATTGGAAAAGCAAAAAGCAAAAAGAATCCAAAAATATGAGGATAATATAAGGAGCTTCTGGGACAGCCTCAAGCATACTAACATCAGAATTATGGGGGTGCCAGAAGAAGAGAGAGAGCAAGATATTGAAAATCTATTTGAAGAAATAATGACTGAAAACTTCCCCACCTAGTGAAAGAAATAGATTTACAGTCCAGGAAGTGCACAGAACCTCAAACAAAAAGAACCCAAAGAGGACCACACCAAGACACATCATAATTAAAATGCCAAGAGCAAAAGACAAAGAATATTAAAAGAAGCAAGAGAAAAACAGTTACCTACAAGGGAGTATCCATACAACTATCAGCTGATTCTCAAGAGAAACTATGCAGGTCAGACAGGAGTGGCAAGAAATATTCAAAGTGATCAATAGCAAGAATCTATAACCAAGATTATTCTACCCAGCAAAGCTATCATTCAGAATTGAAGGTCAGATAAAGAGCTTCACAGATAAGAAAAAGCTAAATGAGTCCATCACCACTAAACCAGTATTATATGAAATGCTGAAAGGTATTCTTTAAGAAGTGGAAGAAGAAGAAAAAGGTAAAGATAAAAATTATGAACAACAAATGCATATCAACAAGTGAATCTAAAAATCAAGTGAATTAAAAATCTGATGAACAGAATAAACTGGTGAATATAATAGAATCAGGGGCATAGAAAAGGAGTGGATTGACAATTCTCAGGGGGGAAAGAGGTGTGGGGGTTACGGGAAGAGCCTGGACAAAAATCGTACACCTATGGATGGGGGGAGGGGTAAGGGCAGAGGGTGTTGTGTGAACCAGGTGGAGAGGAGTTATGGGGGGGAAAAGGAGGAACAATTGTAATAATCTGGACAATAAAAATTTAAAAAAAAGGATTTTATCACCATCTATACTAATAATAGAGGAATATGCAAATTCTCCAAGATGCTGTCACAGTAACAGTAATGACCAGCAGGCTACCTGGGCTGAACAGGCCAGCAGGAGGGTTAGTGAGGGACAAACAAACAACTGAACAGCAGGCTGCGTGGGGCAACAAGGCCAGCAGAGGGGGGCAGTTAGGGGTCATCAGGCCAGCGGAGGGGCAGTTAGGGGCAACTAGGTCAGCAGAGGGGGCTGTTGGGGGCAACCAGGCCAGCAGGAGGGCAGTAAGGGGCGATCAGGCTGGCAGGCAGGTGAGCAGTTAGGAGCCAGCGGTTCTGGATTGTAAAAGGAATCCCAGATTGGAGAGGGTGCAGGCCGGGCTGGGGAGACCACCCCCTTCCACCACCATCCCCAACACCCCCCCGTGCACAAATTTCATGCACTGGGCCTCCAGTTACTTAATAAAAATAAAAAAAAATATGCAAGTAAATAAATAATTTGAAATATATATATTTCCTTTTATTTTCAAACAGAAATTTGGGAAACTACAATAATTCCTTCAAGAACCAATGGTTCAGTGCGTTGTTACATTTAGATTCACAATTAGATTCAGATTATTATATTTAAGCATCACCCCAAAAGTTGGTATAAGCCAGGTGACTGTTGTTTGTCCATCACTATAACAGTTTAGATAGCTGAGAATTCAGATGTCAATTAAAATTTTCTAACTAGAGCCTCCTACTTTCCTGCGACAAATAGGGCAGGTATCGTTGTCTGACAGCCAGTGATCAATACAGTGCACATGATATTCATGGGAGCAAGGCAGTATGCGAAGCCTGTCGCCTTCTGTGTACTCTGTAATACAAATGATACAGACTTTCAACGTATCATTTTTAGAAAAAGGTCTTATAGCCAAGTTGTCAATCTCTGCTTTGCTGAGTCCTGTAGATTGGTTATCATTATCATTCAAGAGAAAAAATTGGTCAAGGAGAGGCCAAGAGCCACTTTCATCTGCTGATATTGGGGTCATAGATCTACTGTCACTCCAGGTTTCTGATGAGTATGGTGAGAATGTTCTTTCATCACTGCCTTCAGAGAATAGTGTGCTTATTTCTGAATTTTCATCACTAAAGGAGCTGGAACTGGACACAGGACTGGAGCTGGAACTGGGCATCAGACTGGAGCTGGAACTGGACATAATACTGGAGCTGGAACTGAACATCAGACTGGAGCTGGATCTGGACATCATACTGGAGCTGGAACTGGACATCATACTGGAGCTGGAACTGGACATCATACTAGAGCTGGAACTGGACATCAGACTGAAACTGGAACTGGAAATCAGACTGAAACTGGAACTGGCTGTGTAACTGGAGTTTGAACTAGAAGTCAATGTGGAATGTAAACAGGAATCACAGCTACAATTTGAGTTGGAACTAAAACTACTTCTGCCATGAGAACTATCGCTTCCATTGGGTGACTCTTCCATGTATTGACTTGGAGCTGCCTGCCTAGGCTCCAAATCACTCTCACTGTCCGTAAGATTACTTGAGTCACTAAAATCTGTCACTGTAGGCCTTAATGTGCTTGGAATTGCACCAGATATTGTATCACTTAAACCTGTACTTAAAATTGGACAAATGGGAATTCCAATGGTACTAACATAAGCTCTCATATCTGCCTGCTCATAATATGAAAGCATATGCCTAAGTTCTCCTTGTTCACTTTCTAAAGTGACAGTGTTATTTGGTATCTCAGATGTTATTTGAGTTCTACTAGTTATGCTGTCTCTCTCAGAATATGCTACAGGATGAGCTTGTCCTACTGCAGAACAGGGACATATTGTTGGATATATCTGTCTCAATCCACAAGATTCACCATCACCAGTTGTGTTTGGAGAAAATTCTCCTTGAACAGTGTTTCTTGTCCCAGACGATGCAAAAAGATGCCTATGTTGTGATTCAAGTGCAACTGTTTGCTGTCTCGATGTTTCTTGGTCCCGAGATCTAAAAAATCTCTCTATCTCACTTAGGAAAGGCTGCTCAAAAATTGGAGATGGTGCACTGTGATGGAATCTTTGCAAAAATTGACCCAGTGAATGTGGAGGTGACCCACTTTCGGTTCTTGCTCTGGTTCTACTCTGGTCTGGGCTCCTGCTTCTTGCTCTTTTCTGACCTTTTGTAGGTGGGACTTTCATTGGTGGCCTTGGTGTACTTTGTTCTGATTTACATGGTCTGGTAAATCTTGACTCAGATGGTGCATTTTCCATGTCACTGTGGCTATTTTCCACATTTTTTCTTCTGGAAAGTCTTGTAGATGGTGTAGATTTATTCTCTGCACTTGGACTGCCAGAACTGAATCTGAAGTCACTGGGTGGATGAATCTGGCTCACTTCTCTCCAAGGTTGGTGTTCTCCTTGCCCACATATCACATTTTTAGTTTGCTGGAAAGAGTTCAGCTGGTCTCTTATAGAGCCACTCATTGGAGATGATTGACTATGATGAGGGCTTTGTGAAATTTGTCCCAATGAACGTGGAGGTGACATACTTTCAGTTCTTGCTCTGGTTCTACTCTGGTCTGGGCTCCTGCTTCTTGCTCTTTTCTGACCTCTAGTAGGTGGGACTTTTGTTGATGGCCTTGCTGTACTTTGTTCTGATGTAGATGGTCTGGTAAATTGTGATTCAGATTGTGCGTTTTTCACATGACTGTGGCTATTTCTTCTGGGAAGTCTTGTAGATTGTGCATATCTGTTCTCTGCACTTGGACTTCCAGAACTGAATATGCAGTCACTGTGTGGATTAGCCTGGCTCACTTCTCTCCAAGGTTGGTATTTTCTCTGCCCACATATCACATTTCTAGTTTGTTCACCGGAGGTCAGCTGGTCTCTTATAGAGCCACCCTTTGGAGATGATTGACTATGATGAAGAGGTGACCCACTTTCAGTTCTTGCTCTGGTTCTACTGTGGTCTGGGCTCCTGCTCCTTGCTCTTTTCTGACCTCTAGTAGGTGGGACTTTTATTGGTGGCCTTGGTGTACTTTGTTCTGATTTAGATGGTCTGGTAAATCGTGATTCAGATTGTGGATTTGCCATGTGATTGTGGCCATTTTCCACACTTTGTCCACTAGGAAATCTTGTTGATGGTACATATTTACTCTCTGCACTTGAACTGCCAGAACTGAATCTGAAATCATTGGGAGGATTCACCTGGCTGACTTCTCTACAAGGTTGGGGTTCTCTTTCCCCACTTGTCACATTTTCAGTTGGTTCAAAAGAGATAAGCCAATCTATTAAAGAGTCATCTGAAGAATTTCCTTCACCTGTTAACAAAAAAGTGGGGACTCAGAAAGGAAATACCAAGATCAGAGCCATCATAGGATAGCATTCTGAAATGTTGTTTCAAAAACAAATTAAAATGATGATAAGTACCGATATCTTGTAAACAAATTTCACATTGATAGAATTAATATTTTGTAAACCATGCTGCAAATTGAAAGTTTCAAATTTATTTGAAAGAGATAATCCTAGATAACTTTAGGGAATTGTTTTATTAAAAATGAATATGGCCAAAACCGGTTTGGCTCAGTGGATAGAGCGTCGGCCTGCGGACTGAAATGTCCCAGGTTGGATTCTGGTCAGGGGCATGTACATTGGTTGAGAGCACATCCCCAGTGGGGAGTGTGCAGGAGGCAGCTGGTCAATGATTTTCTCTCTCATCGACATTTCTAACTCTCTATCCTTCTCCCTTCCTCTCTGTGGAAAATCAATAAAATATATTTTAAAAAAATGAATACGGAGGAGGTCTATTTTTAATAGTTCATCATATACATATCCTGAGAGAGGAATGTCAAGTGACAACAGTTTTTTTCACTCCACTGTCAAAATTACTAATGCAATTAAATAAGACAAATACCCGTAAAGGTACAGTGCTTGTTAAATTTTCTTAAGTTTACATTGTTATGTAATTCTCATTAGTCCACATTACTTCTAGGCTTTTGACTTAAGTGCTTTTGATAATATATAAAGTTGTTTTAAAATATAAGACTCTTATAGCCATTACTCAAATATAAAGAAGGCTTATAAGTTTAAAAGTATTGGAGTACTTATTAATGTTACCAGTGTTTTGAACTGACATGAAATTGAAGGTTAAATAAATGAGTAGACTTAACCTAGCATAGTGCATATAGGACCATGTTCAAGAACCAAACTATTTCATTATCCTTTTCATTACATAGTAAAAGTCTCTACTTTACACTGGGAGAGAACCACCAGCCCTGAGGTTAGAGCAGGGTTTTTCAACCTTAACACTACTGACATTTTGGCACTATAAAATTCTTTTTTTTAAATTTAATATATTTTATTGATTTTTTTAAATCAATCTTTATTGTTCATATTATTACAAAGGTTCCTCATTTCTTCCCCCCCTCCACCAGGTTCCCACCCTACCCTCCACCCCCTCCCTACACCCCATTGTCCTCATCCATAGGTGCACAGTTTATGTTCAGTCTCTTCCTCCCTCCACCACTCCCCCTTTCCCCGAGAACAGTCAGTCCACTCCCCTCCCATATCGCCGACTCTACTACAATGAACAGCTATGTTGTTTTAATTAATAAACTTTTACACTTCTAAGAATAAATTTTAAAATCTAATAATTTTAAACCTTGGTTTTTTTCTGCCTTGGGAATTAAGAAGCAAACTTGTTTACATGTAAACTTGCCCTTAGGCTATCAAGAGGTGTAGCCATTCAAGTGTAAATGGACACATTGTTTAAAGATAGCTGCTGGTTGGAATTGGATTACCTGTTCTGGGTGGGAAGGGCTTGACTTCCCCTTTCTCCATTAAAATTAAGGTGTTAGCTTCCAAACCTCTTTTTGGCAAGAGACCTTAAACTTTCAGAACTTTAAATTTTTCAGATAGTAAATCAATTACTTAGCATTTTCTCAAATCAATAATACCTCCACATGCCCAAGGATACACTTCACACAAAAGACATTTCCAAATAGATCAACCAACCTCATCCAGGCCCCACACAAGGCACTCACAGATCAACACCCCAGTGCTATACTAACTCATCACATCCAGATCTAAGCCTTCATCACTTGATTCAGCAGACCCTCAAGTTCCCACAAAAGTTTCCAGCCATGTCTGAGAGGCAGCCTTGGGGCGGGGGCAGGCAAGGAGCGAGCTGTTCCGGGCCTGGCTGCTCGGGGCCTGGCCTCTGTTGCTCTGGTTCGTTCCACAACCAGCTGCTCTGGGTCTGGCCACTGCCACTCCCAGCCTGGCTGCTGCTGCTCCGGGCCTGGCTGCACCCGACCCAGCTGTTCTGGGCCCGGCTGTTCCAGGCCTGGCCGCTCCTGGCCTGGCCGCTCCGGGCCTGGCTGCTGCTGCTCCGGGCCTGGCCGCTCACAGCCTGGCTGCTGCTGCTCTGGGCCTGGCCGCACCCGACTATTTTATTGATTTTTTACAGAGAGGAAGGGAGAGGGAGGGATAGAGAGTTAGAAACATCGATGAACCGGGGATGTGCCCGCAACCAAGGTACATGCCCTTGACCGGAATCAAGCCTGGGACCTTTCAGTCCGAAGGCCAGTACTCTATCCACGGAGCCAAACTGGTTTCGGCAGCATTATACAATTCTTTATTTAGGGAGCCATCCTGTGCATTGTGGCATGCTGGGAAGCATTCCTAGCCACTGCCCACAGGATGCCTGATAGATCCTCCCTCCTCCAAGTGATGGACAGACATAAACCCCACCTGCGGCCAGACATTCCTGAGCTCTGAACCACCAATCAGCACCTGCCAAATACCCTAACACACACCCCCCCCCAATTCTTAAGTCCCTAGGTTCCTAATCACTAATCAACGTATGCTAAGTGCCTTAAGCCTCACCCCCTATCCTCCCTTTAAAAGTAAACGGACCCCACCCCTCGCTCTCTTCCTCTCTCTTCCGCCCCTCTCTCTGGAAGCAGCCGGCAGTGGTACTCTTCTCTTCAATAAAGCCTGTGTCCTGCCATCCTGGTCTCCAGCCCCCTCTTTATTTCATCTTTTAATGCCAAAAATATATTTAGATATTGTAAAATGCCCCCAGTTGAAAACTACTTCATTAGAATATGAAGTACTTGTTTTTGCTGGTATGGAAGTCATATGTCTAAATAGGAGGGGGGAAAAATGATTCAGGTAGGAGGAGGAATTTTCCATTGAGGTGGAAAACCAAGGAAAAGATAAATAGGCTATTTCATAAATAAAACCACCCAAATGTGAATGGTGGGGGGGGGGGGGGTAGAAGAGAGGGAAGAGGAGGAGAAATGGGGAGTCCTTGACATTCTTACCAAAAAATGAGTAAATTATAGGTTTGTGGTTTGTTTTTTGAGAAGTTACTTGGCACCAAATTAATTTGTGCCACTCCACATAATCTCTGGTTGACATTCACTGTTATGGAGTTCCTTATCCATCCCATCCTATTCCCCTTACAGAGTATACCTGTATTTTCACCTGAGTTGCCCTGTAGATTTTCTTTGACTAGGTGAAGTCTTCTCCGCAACTCTTCTTCTGTACTTTCACCTGGGTTGCCTAGCAGATTGTTACCCTTCATAAGCTTGTCCTCGTCTTCACTCAGGTTACTTACAAATAGATAGTAATCTTGAACTAATTGGTTGGTATGACTTCTGCGCTGGGCCGCAGAGTCATCTCCTTCATCGCCAGAATCTGAGTTTTCCATCTTGATGAACAAGTGGAAAACTATCAGACTTTTACAAAATGATGGTGATACACAAACACTTCCTGCTTTAGGTGTCAGGATACGACTCAGTCGATCCACCTATCCACCTCAGCTTATGTTTCTCTCACCTCTACTGCTGCCACAGTTGTGCAGCTACTGGTGAGTCAACTGTTGAGACCCACCTTTATACCAAACATTCTAGTCCTTGTTGCCTAGGCAACCATGACCTGCGCCATTGTTACCAAACAGGGACCTCATTTAGGTTAGGTTTCATTTTGGTCCAAACCAGTGGATGCTGACTAGGGCTTATTGTGTACCCAGCCCAGTCCTGCGCCTCCTTTAACCCATATGAACCTATTCTCAGGCTTTCGGGAGGTTTTTCAAACTCTGATAAGCTCTAATTATTTGTATGTTAAGTTACAGAACCCAGATGCAGCTAGTTACAGTATATATGACGGCCTCTTTGAAATGCCATTCTACCCTAGCCAGTTTGGCTCAGTGGATAGAGTGATAGTCTGCAGACCAAGGGGTCCCGAGTTCCCTTCTGTTTAAGGGCACGTACCTCAGTTGCAGCCTGGGCCCTGCAGGGCACGTGCAGGAAGCAACCAATTGATGTGTTTCTCTCACATCCATCCATATTTCCGTCTTTCCCTCTCTCTTTCACTCTCTCTAAAAAGTCAGTGGAAAAATACCTCAGGTGAGGATTAAAAAATAATGCCTTGCCAAAGTCATCCTAGTGCAACAGTTTTCATTTTCAGGTGCCACGGGATTTCTGTCTTTTCTCCTCATAATTCCTTAAGTCATGGGTACTCACTGAGAAAGACCACATTGTTTTATATTTCACCAGGGCCATAGCTGGCTCTGTTTCATTGGGTCCTCTCCCTTTTATAAAGCCTTCATCTTGTATTACACAGCTCTTCTGTTATGGGTGGTGGTGGGGTTCATGCGGTGTCGGGAGGAAAAGCATTTCCATGGACCCTTAAGAAAGGATGAGGTCTGATGGCAAAATTTATTCAGGAAGCAAAAGTAAAGAAGTTCCCCAATGTTCCATCTCTGTTGATATAGCCATGGAAAACCAGGGCAGAAATAGAGTCTGTGTCCAGAGATTCTGTGCCATATTAAAGCTTTTCAGTCCAGCATTCTGCTAACTTAGCTTGTGTTCCCGGCTGCAATCCAGTGCTGTGCTGTAGTATCCAGGTTCCCACTGGGAGCCTGTGTTTGGAGTCTGGGTGGCTCAGACCACATGACTATGCACAGAGAACAGGCGAGCGCGTGGAACAAGTATGGGACACGAGCAAAAGAAAGGAGCTTTGCTCACCTGGAATTAGGAATGCTCAGGCTTGGGAGGAACCAGTGCTTTTCCAAAATAACCAGTCAGCTCCCAGGTTAGATTGGCAGACCTCTATGGTCGAGCAACTTCCCTGTGTCATTTTTACTTTTACTGAGCATTTCCCTATCTCCCCATGCTCCCCCACCCACCCCCCCACCACCACCACCACCACACACACACACACACACACACACACACACACACTCACAATCTAGTACTGGAGGAGGGAAGTGAGGGGTTTAATCCATTGGAAGGGTAATGCTGCAATTTCTTGGGGTGTCAAGCTATAGCTTCCTGGTGAAGCAGTCAGGCCTCTGCTTCCCAGCTGAACATGCTCAACGATGTCTCCCCCTTTGCTTCTTTCCCATCAATAACTAGCTAACTATGGTAACATGTCAAGCTTCTGTTTACAAAACAAAACAAAACAAACAAACAAAAAAACCCCAAAATATTAATTACAAATTCGTCTGGTTTTCTCTCATGCAAAGAATCCCTTAAGGAATTCTCCACAAATGCATCCAGTTTCTTTTTTTCCCCCCTCATCAGTATTATACATATTACTTAAACAAAACTAGCCAGAACATCACAGACACTTTTTAAACAGATCCACAATAGTTATTTTGCCTGCCATAATGCATGCTGACCTTTGCTGATTTTATTCCATGTACGTTAGTGCAGTCAGGGTGGCCTGGTAAAAATGATGCTCATCCTATCTGAAGGAGACCTCTAAGAGTTTCTGGACCCATTCCTATTACCAGAACTTAACACTTGTTTGGAAATCCTTCATTCAGGTTGTTCGTGGAAAGACAAGATTTGGCTGCACAATTTGAGACATTATTCCATTTAATTTATTTAATAATTAAATCATCAAACATAAACTGAGTCAGTTACCACCCTAGACTTCAGAGATATGTTAGCTGTTGCAGCAGTCTGTACTCCCAAGTAATTCACAGTCCAGATGAGAGAGACATCACATGGAAACTATCAAAATACAGTATATGCTGTAATAGATTTATTAATATAATATTGTAAAAGTGTGAGAACTGTCTGATGGTTATTTAATGGGAGTTGGGTTGCAGGCTCAATCCCTAGGAGGGAGCATGCAGGAGGCGGCCGATCAATAATTCTCTCTCATCATTGATGTTTCTGTCTCTCTCTCCTTCTCCTTTCCTCTCTGAAATCAATAAAAATATTAAAAATGCAAAAAATTATAACAGTATCAAGTGTGGTTCTAAATATATATAGAATATTTAAAACAATTACATAATTTAAAAAGTTGGTTAACGGGCATATGAAGGTAAAGTTTCTATACTTCACTTAAACTGGTGAAATGACTTAACAGTAAACTAATAAGTTATTCAAATCTAATATTATACCTAGGAAACCACTAGGAAGTTTTACAAAGGGCTACACTAAGAACATTCTAAATAAATCAATATGAAAATTTAAAGAATGTTCAATAACCACAAAATGCAATAAAAAGAAAACAAATAAAATGAGAGAGAATAGAAAAAATACACAAAATAGCAGTCTTAAGTCTAAATATATTAATAATTAGGTTATTATAACTGTTCTAAATATACCAATTAAAAGACAACTATTGGTTGAATGGATAAAAATGACCTTAGGTTGCCTAAAAGAAACTCACTTCAAATATAATGATAAAGGCATAATGAAAGTAAAATGACAGGAAAAAAGAAATCATGCCAACATTAACAAAAAACAAAAGCAGTGCCGAAACCAGTTTGGCTCAGTGGATAGTGCATCAGTCTGAGACCGAAAGGTCCCAGGTTCGATTCCAGTCAAGGGCATTACCTTGGTTGTGGGCACATCCCCAGTAGGGATTGTGTAGGAGGCAGCTGATCAATGTTTCTCTCATCATCGATGTTTCTAGCTCTCTATCCCTCTCAGAGAGCTCCCAGCCAGCCTCCGTAGGACCAACTTAGCATCTGGTGTGAAGGAAAAGGGTAGGAAGTATTCTGACCTTTCTAGCTACTGTCTCCTTGGGAAGTAACTGCATTCAAGACCCAGGGGTGGTTCTGCTCAAGTACCCATTAGAAACAAAGGAAGTAAGGAAGAACCATCTATTATATATAAAAGCCTAAGTGACCGAATGACCAGTTGACCAGTTGACCAGTTGCTATGACATGCACTGACCACCAGCGGACAGATGCTCAATGCACAGGATTGGGCTCCCTCCTGTCTGGAACCGGCCAGTGGGGATCCAGCCGAAACTGGCTATCCAACATCCCCCGAGTGGTCCTGGATCTTGAGAGGGTGCAAGCCAGGCTGAGAATCCCCAGTGGTTCTCTAATCAGTGCTCCAGGCCTCTAGTATTCAATAAAAGTTTTAAGTAGGAAATTGCATTTTTAGCTCTTGTGTTGATTATTTTCTAGGAAGGAGCACAGAGATCTCTTTTTTTCTCTGGAGAAAGGGAGAGTTATGCGATGGTTACTGGAGCTTCTAAAACATTAGATTAATCCCTCTGCTTTAGGGAGTCACAAGTTAACAGGTTGAACTCTACTATCCAACACTACTCACTCACGAGAAGGAGGTCAGAAATTCCTGCTCTGCGGGAATAGTAAGAAATGGCAATAACTTTTCCATCACCCTCACCCAAGAAATATATGGCGCCATCACAATTAATGAGCCAGGTCTAAGAAACAAAAACTAGATGCAAGCAAAGCCAGAAGAAACAACATATAAATAGGCCAAAACTAAAATTCTGGATTCAATTACTATATAGTTTTTTAGAAGTCCATAAATATTCATTTGACCGAAGAGAATCATTTGGCTTAAAACACTGAGCACTTTGCTTAATATTGAACTTGAGTGGAAAAGACTCCTTTGGGAGACAGTTGAAAGCAGCTAATTGCAACAGCTACTTCTGCATCCCAGCCTCTTCACAATAAGAATAAAACAAGAGCGTACACAGAGCATCTTAAATTTCTTTAAAACAAAGTATCAAAAAGGTAATACTCTCATTTTAAATACATTTCGTTTGCCTAGATTTAATAAAATTCCACCAAGTTAATATGCTTCAGGCTACAAGGAACAAAATAAGTGGTGGGGGTGGGGGGAGAGGATCATTTTTTAAACAAGAAGGGGATGTACGCTATCATCCTTGAGTACATCTAAATGTCTAGAGGGGAGCATACTCCAAACAAAGCAGCGTAAAGACCCCAGTTCCATATCTTTAGGATTCTCTTGACTCTGTCTTCTGCAATGTTTTGGCTCTGTCCACAGGTAGACTACCCCATCATCTCAAAATACCTGCCAGTAACAATGGACACAATGCACTTTAAAAAAAAAAAAATGTTTGTTGCAAGAAAAAGAAAACCTCTTGCTTGACCATGGAAAAAGAAAGTATTTCTCTTTAGTCTAATAGGGGTCAATTTGAGGCACATGCCTCCTTCTGTGTACTTATGTGGAATGAGGCTACAAGAGGTTACACTTGGAAAGGCTAAGTGATTTGTTCAGTATTGTGAAAGGAACATGAGGGAGGGCGAAAAGGGAGCCAACAAAAAGAAAGAGTATTCATACATACGACTCAGCATGTGGATATTTTCTATATATTTGCTAACATAATAATTTTTAAAAACGGCATTTGACCTCCTCATCCCGGCATTTTGATTTATGACTTACAGTTAATATTAAAACAAAGTGATCT